CAAAGTTGTCCTCTAGTTAAACAAGTTGTTCTTGTTGGTCATAATCAATTCTGCACAGCAGCTTTGATCGAATTAGATAAAGATAAAACAAAAGATTTGAATGAAAAGAAAATTCTGGATGAAATTTGGAAATATGTTGAACAAGCGAATAAAGATGCTCCATCACATTCACGTCTTGTCAAACAACTTATTCATATTCTTTCAAATGATCAAAGTTTACCTGTAACTCATAAAGGAAATCTTCAACGACAAAAAATCAATCAATTATATTCAAATTTGATTTCACAAATCTATGATGAATTTCTCAATGAACAATATAATGAACAACAACAAGAGAAATTCATTCAACGATCTAATTGGACAAAAGAATCAATTGAAAATTATCTTAAAGAAAAATTCCAAGGAATTCTTGACCAGACAATAGATGTATCGAAATCCGTTTTTGATTTTGGTGTTAATTCATTACAAATTGTTGAATTACGAAATCTTATCTGTGAAGATATTTGTCAAATACCAAAAAATTTTCTCTATGAGAATTCTTCAATAGATCAAATGTCAGAAAAGCTATTTGAATTTATTCAAATGAGATATTCAATAAGGATATCCATACAGAGAAAAACTACACACATGTTCATTTTAATCGGAAATCTACTAAAAAGAAACAACTAGTCAAATGCTCCTGTAGCGTAGTTATATTTTTCCTTTTGATTGAGACGTTGTTCAACCAATAATCGTTGATTTCTTTGTTTTTGTTTTTTTGTTTTAGTTTTCGGTTTCTGAACTTTGATACGTTCATTATCAGTCATTATCAGCATGCGAATACATGCAGGAATCGGACTTTGAATGCCACATTGACGAAGTAATTTCGTAATTGACAATTGATGACCGTCATTGTAAAGCATAGCAGCTAATGAAGCAGAGTCACGAACGTAATTAGCAGTATGGAATCGTGTCTTCGGACATAGAGACCAAATATAGCTATGATACGATTCATTCGGATTCGTATTTCCTCCTTCAACGACTTTCGATAAGACTTCGGTTGAGCACATTTTGTCGTACACAGGACGAAGAGCATTCATAACAGCAGGTACTAAACTATACTTCTTAGCAACTCCACTCGTGGAATCGTGCTGACGAAAAGAATCTAAAACATGCAAAGTATTTGTAAAAAAACAGATATTGACATGAATGGAACATACTCCAACAAGCGACTTTCATTGCCTCCAAGTCATTGACATTCGATCGAATAGCAGAACCATAGCAAACAGTTAACCGATGAATTTTATCATCGGTTAATCGTCCATTTCGACCTCCGATCGGTAACCCATCTTCGAGTTTCTTGTCTCGATAATCCTTTTTGAGTGTTTCCAATGCCGTACGCATTCTATATAAAACCAATTCGATGGTATTATCATAAAAATACCTATCTTACCGTTTTGAGAAATGATTAATGCATTGAAGACGCTGAATAGGTGTATCTCCATACGGTTGAGCGTCAATCAGTGCACGTTCATTGTTAACATCACCATCAGCGACGAACGTAGTGTATCGTAATAAATGTTTCGCTTCCGATCGACAAAACACCTTGACAATGCCTAGAAAATTTCCCATCAATCAATTCCTCTTTTCTGAATCGATTTCTTCTTACCCGCAGCCTCCATTCCAGCTGACGAACCTAAATGGTTTTGCTGACAACCATTCTTCAGATGTTCTGCTAAAAGTCGTTCATACGTTTCGGGACTATGCTCTTTGATTCCTAATAAACCCGAACAAGTACTACAGTATCGACTGAGACATTCGAAATCGAGGACTTTTGTTGGATCCGCTGTCGAACAAACAGTGGCAATGCCATGTAAACTGGAATGACCACGTCGAGTCAACCAAGTACCATCGATCGAGACCTTGATATTTGTTATTCCTTCATGATCAACGGGCTCCGATGATTGTTCGGCTGCTTCGTCAGCTGCAAATATCATTACATGAGAATAGAAAGTGAGAGACAAATTGAAAAAAAACGTGCAGATTTTACCGGCTCTTCGAAGACTATCATCCTTGACCACATCCAAAGCACTTGAATAGATTTTCTGATATCTATTCCAGTTCTCAATCTGAACTGGCGGTAAAATATTCAACATGCCTAAAATCGTAGTCATGCCCGTTCGTTTGATTCCAGCAACATTTGCAGCTGCACATGCCATCATGTTTAATTCATCCATACGTGAGGTAGATGAATGAACCAATTGTGATGAATTTGTGAATGCTGTTTCAAATGAACATGACAAACATGAAAACTTAATGTGGTAAAGAAGACCACGACGCTGTGCAACTTTCTGAGACATATTACCAATACAATGACAAGAAGGACAACTCATTTTATTTACTAAACTGAGTATCGTTTCAATACCAACGATAATATTCACATTATTAAATGAATCATCATTTGGTGCCAAATCGTCTGCAATAGTAGATTCTGTTACTAGTTGAGCGCGAGATAATTTCAGTTTTTTAGCGGTGGTTGTTATCGGACGTGTGCCTATGATAGTTAAATCTTCAACTACTGTTCGTACAGTGCTCTTGATCGAATTCGTGGTCTTCGAAGACTCTAGTCGAGATTTTTGATTTTGCAATCGTTTCGAAATATATGTTTTACCCATCTAAAATCGAAGAAAATCAAACGTTCATGTTCATCTTATCAATATGTTCTGCCCTCACATGACCTCGACAACGATGTGAAAGGACGTGGATGAACTATGACCAATGGTCATTGATAAAAGAACAATGGTCCAATCCTCCTAAAACATGAACATAATTATTGAACACAGATGTCACTTGAGCGAAGAGTTGTTTTAATTGAAACACAGTGATAGAATCAAAATGTGCATTTGATCGACTCCTCCTTTATTGATCTGGACATTCTTTATAAACAACACCGATCCGGTTCGAACGAAAATGAGAATAACGATATCAGTTCATTTCATTATCAATCAGCTGAAGAAATTCTCGACAAATATCGAACTTTAATTGAAACCAATTTTCCATCGTTATCAAAAAAAGGAAAATCAAAAAACGGAACGA